ATATGTATTATAACATATATTAATACATATTATAGTTATATTCTTATATGGCAATTACAATTAAAACGTACGTTACGCGTAGCTTGAGATTTGCTGGATTTGATTGTTTTTATGTATTACAGTATTACATACAAATTAAATATTTTCATGCAATGTATTTATTTGATACTAAATTGTAGAATATAAAGAAAAAATTATAATATACAAAGTAATCAGACAATACAATATAATAAGATACAACACAAAAAATAGAATTAAACCTTTTTAATATAAAATATGAAATACATAATTCTTATATATTTTACAACATTTTTGTTTACACATTTTGCTCATATTTATAAGAAATTTTATATACAAAATATATGCATATCATAACACAAAATTCGCGCATAATTCAAGAAAAATCTGAAAATTCTGGTTCTGCAATAAGAATCTTTACATTTTTATTTAATAAGTTTTTTAATAATAAAATGTTTATTAATAATATTTAATAATAAATTATTTATTAATGAATCCTTGCACGAAAATTTTAATTTCGCATCTCCTACTATGAAGATAAAAGTTGTTGAATTTTAAGAAACTCGAAACTGAATTGAGAAAAAATCAAATAAGTTAGCCAATTTTTGTCTTATAATACGTGGATCGTTTGATAAGTTTGGTAAATTTTCATGAAATGGCGCTACAATCCATTTGATGAGATGACATCTCGAAAGATCCACTCTTCGAACCCCTTCAGACCAAATTTTAGCCAGAAAGGACGCATAGTTCACGTTTAGTAGTTATTTGAAGCGAGATTGGCGCGCAAAAGTGCTCTTCCATCAAGACGCGCCGTCCCACAAGTCGACAATGACAAAACTACGAATTGGGCTATGAATTGATTCTTCATCCACCCTATTCTCCGGATTTGGCCCCGTGTGACTTCTTTCTGTTCCCAAACTTAAAAACTTGGCTCGGTGGAAAGAAATTCTTGTCAAATGAGGAAGTCATCATCGCCGTCAATGAGTGTTTTGCAGACTTTGAGACAGGCTACTTCAAATGACTACCAAACGTGAACTATGCGTCCTTTCTGGCTGAAATTTGGCCTTCGGGGGGGTTCGAAGAGTGGATCTTTCAAGATGTCGCGTCATCAAATAGATTGTAGCGCCATTTCATGGAAATTTACCAAACTTATCAAACGATCCACGTACGTGTTTACATAAAAATGAAATTAGTACTTTTTTATGCAAATTTTCAGCCTGTTTTTATCACAATTACTAATATGTAAATATATTTCAAAGTCTCTAATTATAGAGACTATGAATACACTTCAAACATTTTCAATAATTCATATTTCGTTAATTTAAGATTTAATTTAGTAAAAATGAGCTAGGGACTTTCCATCATCTCCGCTGATTTTATCGGCGGTCCTCTTTTCTTTGTAAATATACTCATCCATAAAAAAAATTACTAATAAATTTAACAGTCCGTTTTTGCAGATGAATATATTTTTAATATTTTTTATTTTTATGTCTACTTATTTTATTTCGCTAATCATATTACATTATGATTAGCGAAATACAATAAAATAATTAGCAATCATATTGCATCATTTTTTTAATGTTATCTTTGATTGTCCATTATATTCAATACTACGATAATAATTGTTAATATAATAAACAATTATAAATGCTGTTCAAAATATAATAAAAATGACATTATAGGAGCATAAGTAACAAATTTTAGCAATGCGGAATTATACGAAAACGTCGAAAATACATACGATAACAAAAATTTTTCTAAATCAATGTCTAATAAAATATTGATAAACGCGGAAGAAATACTAACAATTAGATCATATTTACTATTATTTATTAACTTGCGAATATAAAACTTATTAATATTGCGAAAAAAAGTTATTAATATATATATATATATATGACAGCAGACTTTCATCGTGTTCAAGATAACTATCCCAATAATTTCATCATATCCTCCGCTTTTGTGGTATGCTAGTTACTATCCGATACATAGTGGAAAGCAAACTTAATGTATTCTAATTCTACGTCAAATTCACAAAATCCTTATGCAAAAACAATTTGAAAAGATTAAGCAATCCGTCAAATAACAGTAGTCTTGTTGCAAAAGAGTGTGAATCCCGAATCTTCTAGACCACTTAGTAATAATAGTAATAATTTTGGTGTCAATTACAAGTACCAGTTTTAACGTCTTTAATATAATATTAAAATTCACGAGAAAATATGTTCTGCCACACATCACTAAAAATCATCTCTTAAAAATTAAAAATAAATGGATAGAATGATTTCCTTATGAAATGGGAATACTTATGAAGGAATATATTTAGTAATAATAATAAAATACATGCGTTATTGTTTTTTATATGAATACAGAAGTTTTTAAGGTACCAACTATCTGAGATAAATCGAACTTGATAATAACGGAATTTTAAAGAACTATACTTATATTAAAAAATTTATATAAAATTTAACAATTCTTTATTTTTTCCGTA